CCCTATTACTCTCATTAAGCTATTGATTTTCATTAAATCCATAGGCATAATAAATTGTTTATTTCGCGCCTTATCTTTTGTTGTATCTATATTCTCTCATTCCTTATTATCGTTGAACCCTATTATTTTTTATTTTCTAATGAATAATCATCAATAAAAATATTAATTAAAATAATAACTTTGTTTATAAATAGAATTTCAATTACATAAATTTTTATTGATACAATTTCCTTTCATTTCTTGTTATTTAGTTTCTAAAGTGTGAATGTTAATATTTGAACTATATTAATGTTACTTTCATTATGCTTAAAAAAATTATGGATAGCCTCAAAATTTTGAGACATTTTTTGAGGTGGGGCGTACCTCAGCTTGGGTGAGGCGTACACCTCACCATGGGACAATGAGGCATAAGTCTCATTATGCTTTTTTTGCAAAAAGTGATAAGGCAAGCCTCAAGGCGGGCCTCATATGGCGTAATATTAAATAAGGATATTATATGGACAAAAGGATAAGTTTGTTTCCCTTTGAACTTCTCAATTAACGCAAATCGCATGAGATTAGCGTTTAAGGCATTTTAACTAATTCATACAAATAATTTGATTTTTTTAATAAAAGCCACTCTCTCATTCACTTCCAACCCCAAAATGGTGGAAATGATTTCTTGAATCTAAATCAGATTTGAAGAGAGGAAAACTAAGCAATTATTGTATGCGGCAAGTAAAATGTAAACAATTTAACTCAATCTGAAAAGAAGGCAAGGAGAGAGAGGTGTGAGATAGGAAATCATGAAATTGCGCTTTATTTAATCCCGTAACTCCAAACAAAATTGGCATAAGTTTTAACAATTCAGCAATTTAGAAAACCTCATTACAAAGTCGAGTCAGATCACTCCTCAGGTATTAACTAATATAACGATACAATATAAATTATAAAAATAAAATTCTTAACAAATGTAGTCATAAAATATGAAGAATCACATTTGGTTGAAATTTTAACAAAAATTACTATACTTAATTAGACTGATGAGTATCCTCATAAAATTGGAACATTTCAAAGAAAATGAATGCATGCTTTTTACCTGCAAGGAGAAAAAAATCAAGAAAAACGAGAGGAGGGACTGAAAGATCATTGTTTTAAGTAAAAGAAGCAAAAGGAAGATAGATCAAACTGAGGCTAATTTAATCAAATACTTTTATAAGGCCAATGTGAAAAATGCAGTAAAATTATTTCGTCCAGGAAAAACAAAAAGAAGAAGAAACTTCAAATTACCCCAAGCTCTATCTCATAATCATGTCATTTAGACCACCATTACATGTTCACTTACCTTCTTTATAATTCTTATTTTAAAATTTAAAATAAAGAAAACTTTATTACGGAATAAAGCTCCTCAATATATGATAATAGAAAAAATTATCCTCCTTTTTAGCTTATTAATACAGTATATATATGCACCCTGATAGATACTAACAAGTACACCAATAACAAGTCATATAAATATAATATGCATAAATGAACCCGCTAATCTCTTTAAAGAAAACTAACCCAAATGACATAAATATCGTTCACAAAAAATTATTTACTTTTAGATTTGACTAGATAGATAAAAATTCAAATCTTACTCTTTTTCTAGGGCAGTCTCATGGATAATTCCTTGAAAAAGTGATTGTAACTCAAAGAAAGTCGAATTCAGCTTGATTCGTAGACTTAGCTAAAAATTTTGTTGAAATTTCATTAGAGGCTATATTAGTAGGTTATTCAATTGATTTATCAGTCAGAACTTTAATATCAATTTTACACTCAAATTCTGCTCAAAGTTAATTTCAAACTTAACTGCCGATTCTTAGTCAAAGCCTAAGTTTAGGATCTCAAACATGGACTAACGCTGATGCAGATTTCAAATCAAAAATATCAGCTGTAGATTCATATTGTAGTTGTAAATCGTCTTCTGTATCCAATACATCCATGAAATTATATCATTAACTACAGCTAATTCAACAAATATATTTCAATATACAAGATTTTTGAGTTAAGATGTCTTTCACAAGCCTTATTGTTGAGATGTGAGTTTTTCTCATGAACATTGTTGCAACACTCCAAACAACATCATGATTATCGGTAATTCTGCAATATTTATGTTATGAATATATCTCATGTAAGATTTTTTGGAGAATTGTAGTTTTACTCATCCTTAATTTTTTCCTAAGCCTTTTAATAAAATGGATATAGTAACATAACAGCCTACAGTAAAATAATATTTTCGTTTCAAAACCAAAGGATCTAGTATAATATTCAAACACATCACAATCACCTTGTATGCAACTCTTAAAATTGCCATGCAGTTGGCCTTTATAAAAATGATATTTATTTTTCATAGAACTTATGTATTACATCAGTCTAAATATTTAAACTTCCGGTACCAGAGAGAAACAACAACAACAAATCAATGAAACCAAACTGAGATTAAAAAATCGAACCAAGGTCAGCAAAAGAGAGCCAACTCGTAGTCATCTCAAAGCACAGAAATTTAAATTTTTAACTGACTTCCATAAAGTAAAAGCATGAAAAAAAGGTCAGAAATATATGGTCTTTAGAACCAAACTTGAGTATGGATAAGTATTTGAGTCAAGAATCTTTTGATGTAATTTTTCTTTAGTTATTCTTGAGCAAATTGTGCGCCTGTAATGGCCGTTCTTACAAGAAAGGAGTGCATTTTTTATTGAGAAAAGTGCCAAAATGGTTGACTTACTCTTTTTAGAGGTGTATTATCCCAAAGTCTAGAAAAGTGTCAATTTTAGTCCCCAAACTCTTCTAATGGGGGCTAAATAGCCCTCTCTGGGGACTATTTCAACCTATATTAAAAGAATCTAGGGACTAGTTTGACCCTATTGTAAATAGTAAGTGGGCTATTTTAACACTGCTCTATTATTTGGATTACCTTGTTAGGATTGGTTCACTACTACAAAGTTTGGCTCAATCCAAAGATTTCCATGTTCAGCATTTTTAGAGTCCATGACGCAGTTGGATGATGCGGCCTGGGAAGAAGCTGAAAACAAAGAGCAAAGGGGAAAAAAATACTTTGGGAAATCTTTTTCTCACAATATCATCTGTCCTGTTTTCTTTCATTAGGAAATGACAGTAGACAAGAAAAGAAACAGCCCACATGACTGGTAAGTGGCTGTAACTAAGTAATAAGAAACTAATTATATTTACTTAAAAGGAAATTAAGGAATAGACTATGAAGGAAACTAAGCAAAAGACTAAAAAGGATAATTATTCCCAGGAGTTATCTGAACTGAAGATTGCCCTGCATCAGTCCAATTTCAATTTAGCAATCGCTGAGTTTTAGAAGTTTTTGGGAGTGAAACATGCCATTCTATGTTTTCCACTATCATCTCTAGTCAAAAAATAGTTCGCTCAAAGTTAATGCCACGTTGAATTGTTGCTTTTTGTCTCCTTCTCTCATTTTGTACCATCCATTCTATTCTCATTGTCAACTTCTGTTTTCCATTTCTCTCGTTGCCAAGTTCTAATGTTTTTTCACTACGTACTCCTTTCATCTCAAGCTTTTCTCCTACTTGCATTCTACAACCTTTAAACTCCAAAAATTGTGTTGAATGTCTATTTGCTATCTACCATAAAAAAGAACTGAGAGTTCTTGTAATTGACTAAACCTTCGATGAATCATGAAAAAGTTATTATATTTAAGTATTTTCAATTAAATGTGCACCGTGAGGCAGGTAATATTTAATTAAAAATTAATCAGATACCATATTCATGCTAAAACCAAGTGTGATATTGGATGTAGATTCTTAGAGAACTTTACTTTACAAATCTTGGCAAGTATTTATGAGGATAAGGCTCCTTCTATTAGCATGAGGCCTGGATTTTTAATTGGGTGTTTTTTAAGTTTCTTCTTGCTATTTTAACTTAGGGATTTATGTCTAGGTATGAATTTATTTTCTTTTTTTTCTTCTTTGTTTTCTTTTTGGCAGAATATGGAACAGGATATAAAAAAAAAACATGCGCAAACTGCTATTTTATGTGTTCAAAAAATGCAAAACTAAACATAGAAGCGGAGACAAAGTATATAATTAGGTTGTTTGAAGGAATTGGATGGTATCTGGGAATGCAAATGTATATTACTTAACAATTTCATATTGGATGTTGATTCAAATTTTATTAATAGAATTATATTTACTGTAAAATCCTAATAGATGCATTTTCTTCCATTAATCATTTTCTAAATCATTGTGAAAAACGGCGGAAAATACACCATCCCATCATTTTGACCTCCACACTCCCTTCTCAGAAGAAACAAAAACTCAAATCCTCATTAATCAAACAAGAAAAAAAATTTATGTTTGATTCCCCCTTTCATTTTAACAGTCTTTTATTTTTCCATTTACTGTCTTCCGATTGCTTAAAACCAACAATACATAACAGTTCGGAGCATCTTCCATGGGGAACCGAAGACAAAACTACACAACAGAGCTGCTTTCTCTTGCAAAATAAAAACTTAAGACAATTTTTTAGCCTCGAGTCATGAATCTTAAAGTATTATTAGAGAAGTTTATTATGAACATACAATAATAAATTTCAATACCATAACTATCTGAATATGCCTACGAAAGCTAAATGAGCATTAATTCATAGTGGAGTTAAATGAAAAAAATACACATAACCATGATAAACAAAGAGAAATGTGCAAAATGATCGCCTATCTCCTTTAAGAGGTTAATTTTAGTCCCAGAGTCCATAAAAGTGTCAAATTACTCTCCAAAATTTTTTAATGGTGGCTAAATTAATTCACCAAGAGGATCATTTCAGCCCATACTAAATGAGTTCGAGGACTAATTTGACATTTTTATAGACACTAGGACTAAACGAAATGTAAATAATTAGGGGGACTATTTTGGCACTTTACTCGGCAAAGAAATCATCAATAAGTTGCACATAACTCGAGAAAGAAATCAAACCACTCAAACTACTTTTTCACTTACCAAATCTTCCCAAAATCGTCCTGAAACAACCTTTTTGAAGCGTATAATCCACTTTCCGCCATTGCAATTTGCAGAATCCTGACAGAGAAATAGAATTAAAACAAACGGAGGATCCATTCCTACTTCTAAAAGCTCATTTCTAATACCATCTTCAAAATTACCTCCCATAGGGGTCTAATTCCCTCTTTGAAAAGATGCAGATCCGTTGGACACGGTAGAGTTGAAGGGCGAGCCAAATGACAATAACAAACCCAAAAGCCTTCCACCTATGATCAAAAAAATTACCCAAGAAGTGTCACCAATCTCAAAGTTTAGGTAATAACCGAACGAACGATGGTCGAGTAGTTAGACTAGCAACAGCGCTCTACAACAAGCATACCGTGCTGAATTCAATAATCTTCTTTATATTTTCCTCGTATGATGCCTGAGATCGTACCCCAGGTGTTCGACGAGTATACCAAAATACAAATTTATGCTGAAAATAAATAGAAGGAAAAATATAAGATGTGTTAGGTATGAGAAGCTAGATAAAAAGTCCAGGATGAGAGAAATATTCTCATTAAATCCAAACAGGTTTTAACATCCTCCAAAAAAAATACAAAATAAAAAAAAGTTAGGGGCATTGCACACAATTCTTGTGTGTTTACATATCTCATACCTAAACTTTCATATTTATACACAAAGCAATCAAATCCTTAATGTCATATCAAAAATAGCACTGCTGCCCCTTTTTAAAAGTGAAATGCACCTCTCATGCATAGGTTTAAACCATCGTATGTAAATTTGAAAGTTTAGGTGTGAGATATGTAAATAAATAAGAATTGTGTGAGATGTATGTAAATTTCTCAATAAATTCTCAATAAAGACCAAACATATACAAGAAAAAAAATATATGAGGGAGGGAGAGAGAGAAAGGGATTCAAGAAACATTAGTAGCTAGTAGTTTAATTGAGCCAATTAATAGTTTAACATAATACTAAGGGTCTATACCTATAGCGGGAGCCTTACAGTAACAAGCACATAAAATGAAGCCTCAATTGGAATTCATAGGTTATAATAAAACATAATCAGGCAAGAAAAAAACCTTAATAAAAGAAAATCCAGATTTTCCCAAAATTCAAATGCTAAATAAGAAGTATTGAATTAATCACATTGTTGACGTTGAACGTAAGTTTTGATTGAACAAATAGGGAGCGAACATAAAGAAAAAAACAACTAATAATATTGTGGGCATAAATATAAAAACTTCATTTATAAATATACTGTTATGACAGTGCGCAAGGGTCATTTAGTCTTTACTAGCCTAAGTAATCATTTGTCATTTATTAATGCTTAGTATAAATAGGGCTTCATAGTTTAGGGTTACTGATATGCATGAGATTGTGTCTTTAAATCTTAGGGTAAGGATTTGGAGAAGATTTCCCATCTCTTGAATTGTAATAATTGAGAGAGATCGCCTACCTCTTGAATTATAGGTGCTTACCTTTGTATTTGTCTTGAGTGTTGGAAGTTCTTGCAATAAAATATTATTTGCCCTAATTATTGTTGGAAAATATATATCAAATCCTATCAAATGGTATCAAAACATCGATCTGGGAATCCAGGAAAAAAAGAAGTCTATTGGCCACTACAAAAGAAGATCTCAGCAAACGTACTTCATGGGATCACGACGTCTAGCAGTTTCGCACCGAACCCGCGTACAGAAATTCGTGTGATGTCCCCTTCTGTATAACAACATCTCCTTCGTCGTCGAATCTCCCGATACAACATGATAAGACCTAGCGAGGAAGCGGACGATGAGTTTGCAGTTTACACGGCATCCCCATCACGGCCTAACCTCGCGATACAGTCATAATTTGAGCTAGCTGGGAAGCAAACAACTGGATCGCGACATACACAAACCAAAACTTCCTCCTTTCTCCTTTTGTTGCGCCCTAACAATACGGCCGTGATTTGAGCATGTTGGGAAGATGACTGGATCTCGGCATGCCTCCACAAGGCGCGACTCTAGCAAGCTAGGAACTTCAAAATAATGGCGGCCAAATTATCTTAATGATTGCTTTGTAGAGTGTTGTGCTTCGTGGATCTCCTTCAAAAAGTCTAAGCTCCTTCTAAAACTCATTGAATGTAATTAAAAGCCCTAAACGGAAAACCTTGGGCGGTAAAGAGGAAATGAAGGCGGGCGCGGGTGTTTGAATATATCACTTTTTTCAGAATTTCGGCTCGTTCTTGGTAGGGTTTGGGCACCGCCAAATATTACATTTTTATGAGATCAATTTTGGGTCCAATTGAACCATCACGTGTCTTAACACTTTTGGAGTCCAAACGTAACTCTACATCCGAACTCCGAACATAATATTTTCTCCAGTTTTTGGCATAGGAGAACATTAAATACTCCATCTTTTTACTTCTCTCACCCTTCAGATTAATTCATATAAACTATCACAGATGTCACTTCCTAAGAACACAAATATGAGAAAAATAAAGAAAGCACCCAGACTCTAGTCACTAGATTGTTAAAATAAAGGGGCATTTACATGTATACCACCCAATTTCTACGTATTTACATATCTAAC